CAAGTTCTGTCATGAAACTCTAGATGGCGCAGGCTGATGGGTCCTTAACATAAACTTACGTAATGTAAACTTAGTCCTCTTAACTGATACATTAAGTATCACTTTGCCCTCTTCGCAAAGGTGTGTCAGAACTAAGAAACTGATGATTCCTTCAGGCTGTAGATCTGCTGAATATCAAATACTTCCATAACTTTATGCTTTTATCATTCACTCTGCTTCAGCTTTAACCATCTTCCTGTACCAGAATGAGTGTGTGTTAATGTTAGACTAGTTTAAGTGTTTAGTGTAGTTAATAAAGTCTTGTTTGTATCACACCTGAGGTTGTTCGTTGTTTTGCTCATAACTGGATAACCTAATCATGCTGATCACAGCTACATGCTGTTAAAGTGTGTTGGGTGATTATTAGGATATTAGTATCTATATGGCCAAGAGAGTAATATTCTTCTATAGTCTGCAGACATTCCCACTAAACATTCGCTGGACAAATTGGTAGGACGTCAGTCCTGATTCTGTCAGGAACCCCCCTAAACCAGTTACTTTATCCAAATACTGATAATTTATTTTAAAAAATATTACCATTTTGAGCTAATTTGTTACAAAAATTTAAGGGGAAAACAATCCAAAAGTAAAACACCCAGACATGTTACATAATGAGATTTTGAGGAGGTGAATCTACTTAAACATACTGAAAATGAAAAAGTCCAAAAAATTACAACGATCTCAAAATAAGTTTCATTTCTTTATGGAAAAAATATAACTGCCTACTATTGTTAATACTGTGATTTTGGGGGTGAAATGTGATCTAAGCCTCTTTTACCATTATGTGATATTCAAAATAGACATGTGGTTACCGTAGCTGCTATCCGTACATACAGTGAGAATGTAGCTCTCAATGGTCAAATAAATGAAGTAATTATTAGTAGTATCTAATGTCTATTGCAAAATGTTCAAAAATCAATTTGTCAACAGACACAAATTATTTTCCAAGTAGGGGTGTAAAAATGCTTTGCTTTGCAATTCACAGTGCTGGTCACTACTCAGCAATATATTTTATTTTTTTGTTTATATAATAAAATGAGTATTTTCTCTGTATGTTTCTATGGTTGTATTCCCTATCAGTAGGGTGAATTCAGGGACATTTCAATGGCAAAATTTGTTTCAGTTTACCTGAATTCACCCTTATATATTTTGTACTGAAAATTCTGATTTCATGATGCATTACTTTTAGTAAAGAATCGTAACAGAATTGAATTGTCAAGCCAACTATTTACATCCCCTACCTACAAGTATACCATGATAGTGAATTCCAGTCAGATACAGTATATGTCAAGAAATTCACTTGTGACTGAAGAAAAACAGAAAGTGTATACTTTTAGAAAAAGTTTATTTATCTCAAATATTACTTTTCAAAATATTTGTCATTTAACAATCTGCAGTACAGTTCTCTAGGGTTCATGATTTTGCTCATGTCAAAGAACACATACGAGCTGAATATTTCATAAAAGCTTGTATATATTGACATTTGTTGGAAATTTTTTAACCATAGATATATACTTATGGGTAGATAAACAATTAATTTACATTTTTATACAGTAAAAACATTTATTTTAACAATTTTACCTACATTAATCAAAAAAGTACAGCATATTTAATAATTTTACAAATTCTGCATAAAAAATATATTTCTGTACAAAAACATCTTTTGCACCTACTTCAAGTCAGCAGCACATGATCGAATGACAATGGCGAGTAGCACGATTGTTGGTTTGAATGCAGTTTTACAGCTTGACAGTGGCGAAACTATTTTACAGTCGTAAGGAAACAAAACTGTACAAAATGCAACTGAACAAAGAAATATTATTGCAGCAAGCCTGAGAAAAGGCAAGACATGGATCATCCGCAGTGTGAGAAAACCGACACCGCTCTTTACACCAACCTGGCGAATCCAACGTACACGGAAATGATTCGATCTGAGAGCATGACTCAACGGAAAACATCGAAACACTTTTGGAAACAAAACGTGGTTTTGATTGAAAATACAATCAATGTGAAAATTATATGATATCCAACAGCAAGCCTACAATGTCATTGTGCACATTTTATGCTCAAAGCTGTCGATGTGTAGCACGCAAGTGCATATGGTAACACAGCGTTGAGAAAACATCAGGCATCACGTTGTTCACGTGGAAAAATGGGAGCACTTACAGTTTTAGCACATGCACTGGAATCAGCGTGGTCATGACATTTAAATCACAGTGAATGTGCACCCCAGCAGCCCTACGCTCTTCATCTAGGTTAACATACTAATGATATGGGTCATTGGGAACCGGTGTGGCCCGGTCATGCTTCTGAATCTAATAAGGCAGTGTTTCTTTGAGCGTAAGCTTGATCTTAACCCCGCTGATTTTGTGTTTCTAATGGGCACGGGAGATGCACACTGGTTCAGAAAAAGGAGGAATGGGGGAAAAAAAATGCATCAACTTGTGGGCTCAGATAAATCTTGTATAGGCATCCACACAGAGCTGATAAATGAACTCAAAATCTGCGCCATCAAAATACAGTCATGTTCTGCACAAGAGGTATACTTGATACGTAATGAAAGCAAATTGGTGATACGGCAAATTGGTGAGTAAAGCTATTATGATTTCAAACGTAAAAATTAAATGTAATTTGTCAGCATATGCTAGTCCAAGCAAGTGATTGGACACACCACGAAGGAACAGTACAACATGTGCGTGATGTGAAGTATGATGAATGATTTAAAAAGCAATCAAAAATGATTAAATTGTGTCCTTATCACCTTGTAAACATAAACAGAACTTCATTTCAAAAATAAATTCAGTCTCTCTTGATAGCCGTAGCATGACATCATGCTCTCTATGGATATGGGTTTATGTTTATATACATACGGTCAATAAAACCCTGTATATTATTTTTTGTTTCTTCCAATACATTGATTTCATATCCATTTCATTCTAGTGCAAAATTTGTGCAATAAAGTTTATTATTTTTTTCAACACAGCGGTTGAGTTCTGTCCTCCATCTGGAGGTGAGCGTCTCTCCTTCGAGTTTCTTGTAGCGTTTTGTTACCTTCTTGGTGGAGATCTATTAAGTGTGCTAAGCCACAGTAGTCCAGTTGCTTTCTCGTTTTGTGGTTTGTCTTCACTGAAGAAAATACATTGCGTCAACAACTTTGTGGCATTCAAAGACACGTCAGTATCTTTCCCAGGAAGTCTTTTAAGGGGGGAATACATAAAAAAAAAAAGATAAAAACAAAAAAAAACTTCATCCTTTAAGTGCCATGTACGGTACAGATCCCAGAAATAATGTTGACCTCAGTACTGGCCGAACATGCGTCAAGTGAGCTTCGTTCTTTGAAAAGTATTTTTTCTTTGATGTTTTTTTTTATAATTTTGTTTTTTTTCTCTAAAAAACATAGTCATTGGTTTTATTTTGTCAATTGTAAGCTTGTGATAAAAGTAAAATCTATAGCAAAGTGCAGTCAGTCGTAAAGGAGTATTAGCGTCTGGTACCCACTGCTCTGCTGCTTACCCATGAGGCCGGTCAGTCCAGAGCTGATAATGAAGGCTATACTACTGTGCAGACTGTATTGAGGGTCGTATCAAACCTCACAGCCTTTGCCTCTGTTGGTTTCATGTTTGTATCATACATGGGATTCTCAAATGAAGCTTGTCCATTAGTGTTCTCGTGACCTGCATATCCGTTGTACTGAACTTTTGGTCTTGTTCTGGAAAGGTGGAAAAACAACGATGGTTAAGAGGAATAGGAACTATTTTCAAAGCCAAAACACAAATTTGTGAATTTATTTCCATTTGTTACAACACATTCCAGTTTCAATTATGGAAGAACAACATAAACATTAGACATGTTAGATAAAACCTAAAACAAAAGAACGTAATGTCCTCTTCTAACAATGGGAAGTGACAAATGTGTTAAATTACAAATTTAGGACAAGAAAATAAATCTCATACAACCAACTGAATATTTTTCATTTAACAACATAGAAGCAGTTCATGACAAAATTAAAATGTGGGCAATTACTCACCCTTATGTCAGTTCCACACTATACATTCTTCCATAAAATGCTAAATGTTGTAATATTATGTAGAATGTCTGAGCAGCTGTTATCCACAGCACTATGAGAGCATTATAAAAGTAGTCCATATGGCTTGTGTCCTTTGTAGAAATATCCTTACTACATGGAACACTGTATCTCACTATGCATTGTGGTCGACTTGACCTTCTACTTCTAGGGACATTTTTACGCAACACTGTATGCAAAATAATAAATGCAATATAATGTTTATTTCCAAGAGGATGAGAGGATGCCACTTGCTTGAATTGCAAATGTAATGTGATGAGGTCTTGACAAAGAGGCCAGGAGATAACGTGGCATACTACTGTTTGAAACATTTATGGTGCAATAATGCCTATAGAATACTAGCATACTCTGTGCTATATGCTGAATTATTGCCTACTTTTTCGCCAAATAGTACACATTTTAGCAGTATGCTGCTTTGTCAAGTGTTGTTGTGTTTGTCACATGACAAATTATTTTACATTTTATTTCAATTTTGAGTAAAACTCTTGGCTGATCTGATCAAATACTGTAATGAGTCAAGAAAATATGCTGTAATTATTTTCATTTAGCATACTGAAATGTGAGATCAAATTGAGTGCATTATGTTTTACCATTCCAAGTGCATTATGCTCTGTTGTATAATGCATTTTGGCAAATGTAGTTGATAATCTAGGTATTCTACTATATGTATATGTATGGTAGTATGCTATTCTGATCATGGCAGTTTTAAAATTCCTCTCCTTATTCAACTGAAAACTTTGCTGCTTTTTACCACCAATAATTAAAACCAAAAAAAAAAATAAAACCAAAAATAAAACAATTTTTGGAAAGGTCACTGACGTCTTGACGGTCTAAATTTTGAATACTGCAACTGATTCCCAGGCTTGCTCAGATGGCAGTGGATGATTTATGATCTTGCTCAAATTGTACGGTCTAAATCTAAATAAATGACCTATATCCCATACCCAATTCATATTCCCACTGACTCACAGACACTGGCACATCACCACATCAGACACAATTCTCATGATATTCCGGTGGCAGATGTACACAAACAGAAATAATCGGGATGACTTTTAGTTGATCAAATTAGGGTTGACGGAAATGACATTCTAATATGGGACTACAACACATTATGCAAGTCACTTCATTTCCCATAATTCCTGCACTCTGTCCTGTCTCAGACGAGATGAGAAAATAAAATGCAGACAATGAAGGTGAGGCTGTAAAGGGCTTGTCGCCTGTGGCATTAGCTTCCGGTGACTTACCTGGAGGCGGCCAGGTCTTTGGGTCTCTCATTGTCATCTGTGCCTTGTGATAGAGCCCTGCCAATTTTTTTTTATTATTTTAATATTGGAAAACTGTCATGTTTCATGACAACTTTGTCACATTGTTTTGTTTGTGTAGGAAAACTCCCATGCTTCTTTTTAGCATTGCCTTGGTTTGAACTCATTGGCATTTCAAGAGATTTTAATTGCTAACTGTCTGTAAGCAGATGCAATATCAGTCACAATTACTGGCTTGGCAAAGGAGTTTCCCATCACTGCAGTGACACAATGCCTATTCACATTCATTACGGACAAATAACATCAACACACAAGACAGAAAAGTCAGTTGCTCTTACCTGTGTTTGTAGAGGTAAAAGGCAAACCCTGATAAAATAAGCGCAAAGAAGGGCACTAGAATGGCAGCTGCCACAGAACTGCTGTTTGTGCCGTAGTAAGGATTAGATGGATCCATATCTGTGGTAATAAGACCTGAGGCAGAATTCAGAATAAATCATTTGAAATTACCAATCTGTTCAGAATCATAAATTAAATAAGTATTAAATCTTTTCCACGACATTCTAATTTATTGAGATGCACCTGTATATAATGTATCTATGTACCTTGTCTTGTTAACTGAAACTTCCCAAAATCCTTGCTGTGAATGTGCCCTTGGTAAACAAACATTTTTTTCTCCGTTTCTGCAGTAACCTATATAAAAAATAAACATGAAGGTATAACAGGAAAAAACTTTTTAATATATAGCCCTATTTTGCCAAAACAATGCCTTTCAAAAATCTTACTAGATTGTCAAAGATAAAGGTAATATATATATATTTTTTTTCTGCAATGCAATATTGGAAATCACATAACCGTTTAAAATTCAATGCTTTATTAACTTATTATTACCACTTTTGTACTACTCACATATCCATCCATTGCCCAGTTATCGTTTTTGAATTTGCTAAAATATTGTTCTGTTGGGCCTCTTATCTGGTAAACTTTTAATAATAGATGATTTTCTTCTTTCTTGTAAGTTCCTGCAAAATAACCCAATAAGAAAAAAGAAGAAGGAGAAGAAGAAGAAACATTATAAGGAAATAATTAACTGAAATAACCAACAATATCCATCATCTGGAATTTCTTTTATAAACCTGCATTTGTTATGCTTTTCTGTTTATTTTTGGTCTAGGACTAGGAAGTGGGGCAAAGGAAAACATATTTGGTAAATGTGGAAAGCATCCATAGCTATCAAGCCTGTTCAATTCATCTGAGAAATTGGATGTAATCTCAGCACTGAAGAAATAAGATGCAATGCTAATTAAATTATTCACTCTGCATCTCCCAAAGTAAGAAAATCCTTCTCTTTCAGCATGTTTAATATGTAAGAGCAGACTCCTAAATATGTTCAAAGAAGACAACAATTGGATCAATGGAACGTCATCTTGTTACCGTAGCAGCTGACCGCCTATCAGTTCATTTCTAAACTCACCAACAAATAACTCTATCAACACTCCTTAATAGCATTCTTCATTCCACTTTACATTCACACATTAGTCCATGTTTCTCACTGTGCTCAAGTGTAACCTAAAATCACCTAAAGTAGTCCTGCCCACTGACATCTGTGTGGATATGTTTACATATATAAACAATATGCAAAATGTATACCGACTGACAAATGTTTTGTCGTACAATATATCCATCATATTACCCAACCCTAGTGTCTTCAATGAACATGGTGGCAAAACCTGGCAGAAAACTCCAACTTACCAGAGAGTTTGATGTGCACCCCACTCTGCTCCAGAAGAGTGACGTTGACCCGGCTGGTGGTGGCATTGAATGCATTGACTGTTACCGTGGCAGCCTGTCTCTTTCCCAGATACTCATAGAATCCAGCCCAACCAGATTTCAAAGAGAACACATCTGCAGGAACTAAACAACACATACAGAAAACATTTAATGGAAATGTATGCATGTAATTGCTAAGGTAATTATATATATATATATATATATTTATTTAATGTTTTTTTTTTCTTTTTCTTTTTCGTTCTTTCAAATGATGAAACTAGTTGTATGTTGTTAAAAATAAATACATAAAAATTTAGACACTTTATGTTTAGATTTTAGATATTAGTGGAACAAGAATGTGATAAACTTCATACTGGTAAATGCGTTAGTTGATTTAATTGACTTCACCAATAAAAACCAATTGTGAAGAAAAGTGAAGTTAGTTCTGAGAAAAGCAGAGTATTATAAGTGTCCAAAAACTTTTGAACACTGCTAAACATTAAAGGTGAAATGTGTCATTTCTGCCCTACTAGCAGCACTAAATGAAATTGCAAAAATAATTTTTAAACAGGTTTCCCAAACACTACAACACCTATGAAAGGTTTACAAATAGTTGGTCTTTGCCAGTCAAAGCGGGATAGGCAGTCATATTTTAACACAGAAAATAATCACACTTCACCTTTATCTTTGTTACGCTGACATTTTAAAAATAACATTTTCAGAAATGCAACATTACAGGCCCATTATTTCCAATGACCATAGTTCAACTTCATGTAGGCCAAGTTTATTTTTGATGACAGCAAAATGGATCATTTAAGGGGAACTTGAAAGTTTTTATACCACGAATCTTGTTTTTCTGCAGGTCTCGATCCTCATTTGATTTGCTGTTTATTTTTGGTCCAACTAGAAAATAGAGCAAATAATTGATCGTTTGACATTTGTGGATACAACCTGTACAATGGTAATGACAGTTAATCAAAGTTTCTTGCTGTAGTTTTTCTGAGAATAAGTCACTTCTACAACAGTTTGACAGACATGAATATCTTTCATACATTTATAAATACAGACACTGCTATTCTGTCTATATATTTAGTCTTAAATGGTAAAAATACGGTAACACATTAGTTTAGGGACCAATTCTCACTATTAACTAGCATGCACATTACTAGCATATTGGCCGTTTATTAGCACTTATAAAGCACATATTAATGCATTATTCTTCATGACCCTTAATCCTACCCCATACCTAAACTAGCCCAGTTGTTTCAGTACCTTTGCAGACTGGAGGTTTGCCTGACCACCTTCCATCTGCTTTGCAAGTCCTGTGCTCTGATCCTCCAGATAAGTAGAAACCATCTTGGCATGTATACATGAGTGTGTAACCTAGAGTAGGCAGGTCTATAGCCTTCACGTCTACATGAGATGGCGTCTCAGGCTGTTTACAGGCATGTGCTGAAAAGTGAAAGAGAAAGAAAACAATTAGTGATGTTCCAACTGATCAGATTGGAGCCAATATTACTTCCAATGGACAATTCCATGAACACAAGTATTTTGGTGATTCTGAGGAAATGAGCCTAATGGTCAGACTTAAGTACTACGTTCATGCCATCTTTCTTTCTTTCTTTTAATAAGTTTTTTTTTTTTGGGTACACATTTTGATAGGTCACTTTAGACATCATTCTACTACCTTTAAGTAACTTTGTAATGACATGCCAACTAACTCTTATTATTAATTTGCAACTACATGTCCGCTAGCTCTCATTAGAGTATTAGTAGAATATTAGTCATTACTGTTAGGGTTGGTACTTATAGTCAGTAGAATGTGTGCCATCAAAATAAATTGTTAGCAAATATTAAGCAGACAGTCTTGACATATAGTTGCAAAGTTACTTAGTAGGTAGAATGTCTAAAATGGAGCATCAAAATAACATTTTATATTCTATATCTCTTCTATATGAAAAACATAATAAGACCCTATCATAACTGTATTAATTTAATTTTCACAAATATCAAGAAGCTGAAAAATTGTTTAAATTGCTTGTCTTTCATTAGTATTATGTTCAGTAATGTTTCTGTAATTTATTAATATTATTATTATTATGTATTTTGCAACATAGAAAGAAGAAGAAATAAAAAATATATATATAAGCATAAGGCTTATTTTAACTAAAGTGGACATATTAGAACATCACTACTGATATTAGGACGCATAAACTACAGATATGTTATTTACAGCTGAAATTCATGTATTTCTTTTTTTTTTTACTTCTGGATAATGATTTCATATCATTAGTTTGCTTACCTCCATGAGAGTGAAATATTTACTCTAAATGAGTGTAAATGAAATCTTTTTTTGTTTATTTCATTACTTTGATAACACAAATAAAATAACATATACGTGGTCCAGAGACTGTAGCTATTTATTTTTTATGCCATTATTTTTATAACTCCTCATACATCCATTGCACGGTTTACACATCACATCCATGATGATGTTACTTGTTACAAACGTGTTACTTGCTACATGTATGATTTAAATTAAGAATGATAGATCTACTAAACATGCCTTTTGCAGCTACTTAAAAAAAACGGTAAGAACAAAATGGACTTTAGCAAAAAGTGGTGGGAATATACCCCACAAGTTGAAAAAAAAAAAAATAAATAAAAAAAACTCAACCCCTTAATGGACAAACTAATTGTTCTGGCCTAAAATCATGCCACTACTTGAGCCAAGACAAGTCTAGTCAAGTCAGTTTAAGCGCTTTTCACAATAAACATTGCTTCAAATAAGCTTTACAGAAAATCACAATGTTTTTAGACATTATGAATACCTTCATGACTTGTAGTGGCATTTAGCATATTAGTGCTGGATAATAAAATTGTTTAGATTTTGCAAAGATGCACACAATCCAGCATTTGAGATTTGCTATACACACAGTGGCATATACATTGGTATGCATTGCTGTATAAGATACTGCATATATGTAGGTAAAGATGGAAATACTATAACTCTTAATATACTGTTGGTCGATAATATAGTTTACATTCTGTGACAATATAAACCAGGGGTGGCGAACTCCGGTCCTGGAGAGCCGCAGCCCTGCAGAGTTCAGCTCCAACCCTAATTAAAACTGACCTGCCTGTAGCTTCCTAGTAACCCTTCAGACCTTGATTAGCTTGTTCAGGTGTGTTTGATTAGGGTTGAAGCAAAACTCTGCAGGGCTGCGGCTCTCCAGGACTGACGTTCGCCACCCCTGATATAAACAATCAAGCAGTTGAGATATGCCATATAGTACACAGCTTAACATGAGTATACTGCATGTATCCGGGTGAGGCTGGATATACTTATAATAGTTTTATAATTCGAACCAATGTTGCTGTTTTAAAAATCCTGACCAGAGCATCCCTAAATAAGTAGAGAATTGCAATAAAAGCAATATCAGAAATATTTAGAGTGGAGTTTCAGCTGCATACTACAGAACAGTCGAGATAAAGCCACACCCCTGAGAGAAACATTCTGGGACATGTCTTGAGTGCTGCTATCTTCCATAATATATGAGCCATGTCCTCACACCTCACTTTTCGTCAACTCAATTCTCACTGCTTCTCAGCTTCTGACAGTTTGACTGCTTTACACAGGCGAGACGCCCTAAGGATTTGGTGGGGCGCTCTGTCAAAGTGCTCCATGTATCTCATATTTATGTACAAGCTGTTTAAACTCAGCTGACTTTAATTATTTTGGCCACATTTTCCTCTTGCAGCAATCATTTCAATACAAAAGCATCACAACGTGGAATTCACACATACAGCTTAGAGGATCATCACTGGGACAGTGGCAAGGATCAAGTGCATGACACTGCTCAGAGAACTTCTATCAAAAAGTAGATTTGCAAGAGCAAACTTCTCTCTGCTAAGCTGTCAGCATCTTTAACATCAGCACCCTCAGCCGTTATAACACTGAAGTAATCTGTATTTCTTCAAACAATGCCCTTCTGCAGTAATTTCCTGTGTAAAGATCTCTCTCTCTCTCTCCTCACCTACTTTGTTTTCCTGATAGTACATCATCAGTCACACTGATGAAACCTTGTTTCTGATTTAACGCTATGGCTGTGTTCCAAAACCTAAGGAACTGACTTGCTGTTAGACACCTACACGGGAAACTTCCGTTTGAGGCAGTATGCTAAGTGAAATGGAACCTCATAAGTGCCCTACTTAGGCAGCAAATAGTGCTCTTCACATGTAGCGCATATCAGATCTCACTCCCAACTGATTTCAATAGAGTTTGCTGTTAGCATGTTGCTAAGCTAACACTGTGATACTCTAATTCTGTTTTTAGACTAGATTTTCTGGTCGCCAACAGTAAATGGAGATGGCATATATATACATATATTAAGGTCCAATTCTCATTGTTAACTAACTACTAACTATGACTTTTGCCTCAGTAAACTCCTAATTTGCTGCTTATTGGTAGTTAGTAAGGTAGTTGTTAAGTTTAGGAATGGGGTATGATTAAGGGATCTAAAATATGTTCACGCAGAATAAGGCATTAATATGTGCTTTATAAGTACTAATAAACAGCTGATATGCTAGTTGTCACGAATCCTGTCCATGGACTTCCGTTCGATTGCCACCAGAGGTCACCCTTCCATTACATTGACTCTAGCACTAAACAAACTGTTGCATGTAATCCTACATATCCCAGAATACTCGGCCACACAAGGATCCAGCAGCTTTTCATGTGGATACTATTCATGTGGATACTATTCAGAAGTATCTGGACATTGCGTGTTATTCTGATTTGCCAGACTGTTTACTGATAGACTTTTTCTGTGATGGAGTAAATTAACCTTTAAAGTCACGATTAACCCGTGAGGGTCCACGTTCTTCTCTAAGCTATTTTTTGGATTTTGCTCTGCTGTGTGTCGACTCCGTGTTCACGGTGGGGGTTGCGGAGAAACATGACACCGAATCTGCTTGCGTAATGTCAGCCGCACTAGAGCACTCTCACAAAATGGTGGACACAATAGCGCCCCACTATGTCACAGCTGATCTTCATGAGTCAAGTCGAGTCACGGCTGTTCTTTATGAGTCAAGTCAAGTCACAGTTGATCGTCATGA